GGCTCTCCCCCCCCGCAGCCATCGATCTGCACTGCAATATTAACGAAGGTGACTCATTAAGGCCGCTCGGAGCGGGGGGGGGGGATGGGAGGCCCGCGTTACGGCCTGGGGACGCAGCCCGGCCCGCAGCCCTCAGGGCCCGTTGCTATGGGCGTGGCTCCACACGTTGCTATGGGCGTGGCCCCACCCCGTTGCTATGGGCGTGGCCCCACCCCGTTGCTATGGGCGTGGCCCTGCCCCCCTCACGATGCCCCCGCCCTTCCGCTCCTCCACTTCCGCTTCCGCCGCCGCCGCCGCCGGAAGCGCTGATTGCCGCCGCTGCAGCCATGGCCTCAAGGTTACTGCGGGTGGGCGCGGCGCTGCGGTTTCTGCCCGCCGCTACCGGCCGGGCTGCGCCCGTAAGGAGCTTCGCTGCGCCTGGTGAGGGCGGGAGGAGGGGCGGGGGACGGGGCCGGGCGTCCGGGTCCGGGCCTGAATCGAGGCCCTGGCCTGGGCCGCCGCTCGTCCCGCAGGCGACCTCGCCACGGATGAGGAGCAGGCGACGGGGCTGGAGCGGAAGGTGCTGGAGGCCATGAATAAAGGCCTGGTGAGTGCGAGGTGCTGGGCGTGGGGGTGGGACGGGGACACCGTTGCTGAGGATGGGGATCCCGCTGACCCCCTGCCCCCTTTTCTGTCCCCCCTCCCCCCCAGGATCCCTACAGCATGTTCCGGCCGAAGCGCTACGCGGGCACCAAGGAGGACCCCAACCTCGTGCCTTCCATCACTGATAAACGCATCGTGGGCTGCGTCTGTGAGTGTCCTCATGTTCCCCCCCCCTCTCCCTACGTTTCCCTCCCCCTCCTCCCCACATTTTCCCCCCCACACCTCTCTCCACGCCTCCCCCCACCCTCTGTGTTCTTTCCCCAGGTGAAGAGGACAACAGCTGTGTCATCTGGTTCTGGCTGCACAAAGGGGAGGCGCAGCGCTGCCCGTCCTGTGGCTCTCACTACAAACTCATCCCACACGAGCTGCCCCACTGAGAGCCCCCCCTCCTCAGCAGCCCCCAGGGGGGGGTTCCTGGGCTGCGAGACCCCCCTCCCTCCCCCAGCACCCGTCTGGTTTTCAAAAGCTGAGCCGCTGCAGCGCTTGTTCTGCTGTGTCCCCCCCACCTTATATAGAAAAAGAACTGTGTGTGGAAACCCTGCCTGCTGTGTGTGTCTGTTGGGGTGGGCGGGGTGGGGATCAGGGGAGGTGGTGGTGACCCATTGGGGTGCTGAGTGGGGGGTGGTGGGGAGTCCCCTCCCCATGGGTGCTCGCTTTGGGTTGGTTGGGGCTGATGAGGAACGCCTCGTCATTGGGGCAGGATGAAAAGGTGCACCTGGGGGTCGCGTTGGGGTGAGCTCCCCCTTGTCCTGTATCCTTGTTGCTGTCCTCAAAGCTGGGGGCGTGGGGCTGAGAGCAGAGAGGGGCTGCTCTGCGACCCCCCAACCCCCCCGTGGGCGCTGTGTTTGGGCAGCCGGGCCCCACCAGCACGGCATATTATAAACACCTCATCTCACAGCCGATCCGACGCCGCCTCCTTTCCATTGGGGCCGTTTCCCCTCCTGCTGTCCCAGCACAGCTGGAGATACGAGCCCAGGGAGGGGCGGACAGATAGGAGGGACAGATGGACGCGTGCTCAGTGCTGCACCCGCAGCGCTGCCCTCCATCCCACGGCTGCGGTGGGCGCTGCGGGTCCCCGGACGGGTGACGGCAGGAGCCGCTGCCCGGAGCCGCGGGGACTGGTGACGTCAAGCCCGCCCGTGACGTCACGAGCTCACGGGCCGCAGCTCCGGGCTCGGCCAATGGGAGCGGCGGACGGGCGTGATTGACGGCGGGGGCGGGCGCAGGGCGGTGGCGCCGGCGGCCGAAGGGGCGTGGCTGGACGGGCGGGGGCGTGGTCTGACGAAGAGGGCGTGGTTTGAAGGGAGTGGGCGCGGCCTGCCGGGAGGGGGCGTGGCCTGGCAGAGGGGGCGTGGCCGGGCGGGGATCGCAGAGGGCGCGCGGGGACGCGGCGGGCGGAGCCTCTCCCCGCCCACGTGACCCCGCGGGGGAGCCGCGCGCGGCGGCGCGGAGTGCGGCGGTGACGTCACCCCTTGTCGCAGAGGGGCGGGGCGGGGCGCGGGGCCGCGCGCCGGAAGCGGGGCGGCGCGCGCGGAAGGGCCGGCGCGGGGCGGGCGGGCGGACAAGATGGCGGACGGGGACAGCGGCAGCGAGCGCGGCGGCAGCGGCAGCGGCAGCGGGGGGGGCGGCGGCGGAGGCGGCGGCTTCGCGGCTCCCCGAGGCGGCGGCGGAGGCGGCGGCGGCGGCGGGCCGGGCTCCGGGCCGGGCCCCGAGCAGGAGACGCAGGAGCTGGCGTCGAAGCGGCTGGACATCCAGAACAAGCGCTTCTACCTGGACGTGAAGCAGAACGCCAAGGGCCGCTTCCTGAAGATCGCCGAGGTGGGCGCCGGCGGGTCCAAGAGCCGCCTGACGCTGTCCATGGCCGTGGCGGCGGAGTTCCGCGACTACCTGGGCGACTTCATCGAGCACTACGCGCAGCTCGGCCCGTCCAGCCCCGAGCAGCTGGCGCAGGCCGCGGGGCCCGGCGGCGACGAGGGCGGGTCGGGGCCGCGCCGCGCTCTGAAGAGCGAATTCCTGGTGCGGGAGAACCGCAAGTATTACCTGGACCTGAAGGAGAACCAGCGCGGCCGCTTCCTGCGCATCCGGCAGACCGTCAACCGCGGGCCCGGCGGGCCGGGGGGCTTCCCCGGCGGCCCCCCGGGGCTGCAGAGCGGGCAGACCATCGCCCTGCCGGCCCAGGGCCTGATCGAGTTCCGCGACGCGCTGGCGAAGCTGATCGACGACTACGGAGGGGAGGAGGACGAGCTGGGCGGCCCCGGCGGCGGCGGGCCGGGCGGGGGGGGCCTCTACGGGGAGCTGCCCGAGGGCACCTCCATCACCGTGGACTCCAAGCGCTTCTTCTTCGACGTGGGCTGCAATAAGTACGGCGTCTTCCTGCGGGTGAGCGAGGTGAAGCCGTCCTACCGCAACGCCATCACCGTCCCTTACAAAGCCTGGGCCAAGTTCGGCGGGGCTTTCTGCCGCTACGCCGACGAGATGCGCGACATCCAGGAGCGCCAGCGGGACAAGCTGTACGACCGCCGCGCGGGGCCGCCCGGGCCGGGCAGCGGCAGCGGCGCCGGCGACGATTCGGACGGCGACGACGTGGACGACGACT